TCCTTCGGTTTCCCATTCAGGGCTCCCACAACTGGGTTTCCCCACTGTCATGCATTCGGGTTTAGCCCCACCGAAACCCGCACAGCCCGAACCCTCTGCCACGCAGGCGCATTCGACAGCAGTCACGCCTCCAGCATGCATTGAGCATCGACCGTCTCCAGTCGCAGGTTCCCCAATCAACTGGGGCAAAGCTTCGCCTTTCGGATTTACTAATCATAGCTTGAAGGTAGTCCCGGACCCCCCTAAGCAAGTTCCTCGAGCCACCGCCATTCCCATTCCACAACAGATGGGATCAAGGATTTTCTTGGATCTTTGTTCGGGTCTAGAAAAGCCTCTGTCGCTAGCAGTCGCTGCTCTTGGCTTACCAGTGCTGTCCATCGACATTCTTTTGGACCCAACTATGGATATCTTGAACAACGACTTCTTTGAGCAACTTCTGTTTATCTGCGGTTCGGGTATAGTGGGGTATTGCGCCTCCTCTCCTTGCTGTTCGGAATATAGCCGTTTGAAACTTCGGGGTGATAAACCATACCCCATACGTACACCGCAATTTCTTGAAGGGCTTCCAGACATCCCCGCAGAAGCCCAATCCCGCGTTCAGGAAAGTCACGAGATGCTCTCTCGAGCATGTCAGTGCGCAAAAGTCGTGCACGCTGCAGGGGGCCACTCCCATGTGGAGCAACCTTCAGGAGCTATGTCGTGGGAAGAACCGTGTATGCAAAGCTGGCTTCATGCAGGTTCGGTCGTGCTAGTTCTGTGTGCTGCATGTGCTTTTGGGGCAAACTGGCAGAAGACATGGCTTTTTGCCAGTAGCTTCAAGACACTCGGTCTCATGGGCCAAACTTGCTCGCACGGGCGAGACGCTCACCCAGTGATGCAAGGTCGCTCTGTCTCAGGCGTCTTCCAGAGCAGATCCACAGCCAAATATCCGCAACCCTTGGCGGAAACCTTCGCATTGCACATCAGACCCCTACTTTCGGGTGATTCTGGCGATCACACCATAGCCTCAGCCTCAGCACTGATTCCGGTGAAGGGTATTCAAGCAGAGCCCTGGGTTCTCCATGACGGAGCAGGGCGTCACTCTTGTGGTGACTGGAGCAGCCCGTTGTGTTCCGACAAGCTTAAACCGCTTCGCACATACTTGCTCAGTTGTGTCGCTCGCCTGCAAGGGGACAAGCGTCTTCTTGCAAAAGCAGAATGGCCCAGCCCTGATCCATTATTTACACAGTCTGAGGTTTCCGAAGTTAGGCAGGGTTTTCTTGCGAGCTTGGGGTTGCAAAATAATGAACAAATGTGGCACATTCGAGAACACCAGCCCTTGGCTCTCCACATCTTGGAGAAGCTTGCGAGCATATGCGGTGATCCAGACATCAGCTTGTTCCCAAGTTTGAAGAACGGGGTCCCTACAGGCTACAACAACGATATCCCGCCTTCTCACTGCTTTTGGCCAAACCAAAAGTCTAACGTTGAAGATGTCCCGTTGTCGATCCACATGCAGAACTGGCGCTCGGCATCGGTCGAGCCCTCAGTCACACAAGCGCTCCTGGATGAAGAAATCAATCAGGGTTTTTGCTACAAGTTCCAAGGGTCGTTAGCCGAAGCCAAGGCCAAGTGGCCAGCACTTGCGATAGGAAAGCTTTCAGTCGTTCGCGCTCCAGGGCGTGCAGAGCGATTGGTACTTGACAATTCAGTCTGCGGCACGAACGCAAATTGTGATGTCCCAGAGACTCAGCACATGCCGTCTGCCAGAGATGTTGTTAACAGCTATCCACTTCGCGAATGTAACGCTCGGCAATCAGCCATATCTTTGGACGTAAAATCAGCCCACAAAAGGGTTTTCGTCACACCTGCCGAGCATGGCTTGCTAGGGTTCTCATGGGATGATGCTTTGTACTTCTACCGCGTGGCACCTTTTGGTGCAGTCTTCGCCCAGCACTGGTGGGGCAGACTTGGATCGTGCATCCTTCGCATTTTGCATGTGCTTATCTTCATCAGCCACACAGGTCACTTATTTGTGGACGATTACCTGTTCTCGCAACTGGCAGCGATCATGCCAATGACAGGGGCTATGATTTGCCTGTTCTTTCAAGTCATTGGCCTTCCATTATCTTGGCGTAAACTTCAACTGCATAGTCGGGTCCAGTGGATAGGTTGGGACTTTGATTATACAGCGGGGGTAGTCTTGTTGCAGGAGCAAAAACGTCTCAAGTTGTTGGGGATGGTTCAGGATCTTCAGCGAAAACCAAAACTTTCCAAAAAGGATCTTGAACGCTTCGTGGGCCTGGCCCTTTGGGCTTGCCACTTGTTCCCTTCCATGAAAGCACTCCTTCACACATTTTATCACGACCTGTTCAGTCCAGCAGCAACGAACTACTCGATATCTCCAGAAGTATGGCACCAACTTCGAAACCACCTTACAGAGGATCTCAAATTCAAATCCGCCCCGCCAGGTACCGCCATTCCGCTTCACTCTACACTGCTATCGGTGCGGCACCAAAAACTACAAAGCCTTTCAGATCTTGCCAGTGTTCGCATTACAGACAGACGTATCTGGATGCGCATATCCAGCCAATGCAGCAACAAGCGCCGCCTGAGTGCGGAGTCAGTGCGCATTCTGGGGCTTTATGAGTTGTGGTTACTTCACATGAGCCCTATGGTCAGCATGCGACCGGCAGCAGTGTTTCCAGTGGAAGCACAAGCGGATGCCAGTGCCCAAGGTCAACGGGCTTGCATTGGTGGGTTCGTGTCACATCCTGCATTAGGCCAAAGGTGGTTTAGGGAAGAATTCACATATGAGGAGTTCCGCGAGCTTCAGGTTCCCGTTCAGCAAGATATGCAGCTTGACATTGCGTGCTATGAAGCACTCGCTCAAGGGGCGCTGATTATCGCATCTTCAACCTTGATACCTTGCTCCAGAATCAAGCTTCGGACGGTCTCAGACAACAGTGGTGCGGAGGCAGGTGTGAATGCATCATTTACAACTTCACGCCCACTTGCATATTTCCTTGAACGCATCTCTCTGCTTGCTGCAGTGTATCGTACCACTTTGGATGTGTCCCACATACCGGGGGAGAAAAACATCAAAGCAGATGCACTGTCAAGACCTGGTGAACACGACATTCCCCCAGACTGCCTCGACTGTGATCGCATCAGGCTTCGCCTGAGTGATCTTTGGCTGCCTCGGCCGGCCATTTCCATTTCGCCCAGCGATGCTTCGCTGGCATGGACCGTGCGAGCCCCAGGAGTGCCGAACAACCTCACATAGTTTTGGGCTTTTCGAGAGCGAGGTTGCTGGGTAGTTGTTATTGGGCGAAACGTGCCACCCATCAACCTAGTTGTTTCGTTTGTTGTCTCACTCGACTTATGTGAGACAAATCGGCACTCCTGGAAAATACTACGTCTTTCAGGGCCTTTGAGTTTGGACTTAAAGCCTCCGGCATACCGCTAGCAAGCACAACTAAACCTATAGAACGATTTGTGTACTTGTTCACATCTGTTTTATAGTTTATGTGTGCGAACATTTTGGCTCACAGTATTAGTTGTGCTTGCTGGCGGTTTTTTCGAATTCCTCACCCTCCCGCCCTTATGCGGATTCACGACTGGCGCATTCTAGGACCGCACAGCTGTTTCACAAGGCACTGGCCAAAGAACTCGACAAAGACCTCGTAACAAGAAAACTGGGCCTTCGGGGCAGGCACGTCTCACAGTCCCAGTAGTATCAGCAGCTGAGCAGTGTTTTCTACTTGCATTTATCGCTTGTCTTGTTTATCTTACGCTTTTTGCTGCAATACACCGTGTCACCTCTTTCAAGAACCTCCGCAATGGTAATGCTTTAGCTTGGGCTTATATCCGTATCCTTTTGATTCGGGTCGTTTGTGTCCTCTGCCAAAGGAGGTTCCTCGTTGCGACCACTGGTTCTCATGCATCGCAAGTGCAAGTGCTCGCGCTGGTCCCGCAGCAGTACTTCGAACTTATTCCGCCATTGCGTTCGCAGATTGGTCATCCTGTACTTCGGGTTCTCTCGTCTTGCTACTGCTGTAACGACAGTTTGGATGGGGGGGCGAAACGTGCCACCCATCAACCTAGTTGTTTCGTTTGTTGTCTCACTCGACTTATGTGAGACAAATCGGCACTCCTGGAAAATACTACGTCTTTCAGGGCCTTTGAGTTTGGACTTAAAGCCTCCGGCATACCGCTAGCAAGCACAACTAAACCTATAGAACGATTGAACTTCACGAGTCCGTTGCAACATATGTTATGACTTGCGGACCTTTTTATATTATATATGATTGGAATCGAAGCTTTTCCGTTTCATATGCATCCTGGAAAGCTCCACATCATGTTTGAAATATTCTAGATTTTTGAGCCGCCCCAGTTTTGTATAATTAGAAGAACCGCTCCGACTTGTCGGTAGCGCTTTCTAAGTAGACAGAACTGTAGGCTCGCAGAGCGAGCCGGGGCGGGTCCAGTATCGTGTACAGTCTTGCGGTATGTGGTAGTTTCACTCAAAGCAGAATTTTTACATGTGATTTTCACGGTGAATTTTTCATGAATGTTTTTCCTGGCATTTTCGGCATGCGAGATTCACTTTGTGATTTGATCTCAATCAGCATGGCCGCGCTCGCCCTCTCAAGCAACAGAAGGGCGGGGCCCAACATTCATGAAATTTTTGAACCCACCCACCCTCCCGGGGGGGGGATGTTGTGCCCCGTAGATCTCGTAGGCCTTGTGCCGAGGTCGGGGCAAACCGGGATCGTTTCACGAATTCCCCCGATCGGCTATGCAGCCAAAAAGTGTCCGTGCGAGTGCGATTGAACTTCACGAGTCCGTTGCAACATATGTTATGACTTGCGGACCTTTTTATATTATATATGATTGGAATCGAAGCTTTTCCGTTTCATATGCATCCTGGAAAGCTCCACATCATGTTTGAAATATTCTAGATTTTTGAGCCGCCCCAGTTTTGTATAATTAGAAAGGCAGATGAGATTGACGCCTGGATGGCGACCTGCCGACAGCAGGCTGACAGATACGTGAGAACGTTCGAGGAGCCGGCCACGGTCAACATCCTCCAGGAGATCCTGGAGCGCTCTACCTGGGGCTCGTATGGTGGGGGAAAGCTTGCAGTATGGTACGACCTGAAAACGGCGGGTGAAAGCTCGACGCAGCCTCACCTGAGGCGCCCGTCCTTCAACCCGGACAGACTCCAGAAGACCATCAAAGCAGCTCTCGCAGCACGCAAGCTGGAGGCTGTCACAGCGAGCTTGTTTCTCATTCATGGCAACGTAGGCTCCACAACCATGTGCCTTTATCTTCGGACCCTGAATACAGGCGGGGCCCAACGCCGACGTCCTGGTCTTGTGCTTCGACGGGGGTAGAGACCACAACTTGAAGCTGTTCAACTGCATGATCTGCCCTGACGGCAGCCATTGGCCGGACCGAGTTCCGTTTTTTGCTTCAGATGTGTTGTTGAAGTTCCTTGTCTGGGTGTGCGTGCATTGGGCAGGAGCGCGAGCGCCAGCAGCTGACCGTGACCTACTCGGAGGAGAGCGTGCTTGCTCGCAAAGCGACGCAGCGCGGCTTCATTCAGCTTGCGGAAGGGCTCCACGTGTTCGGCTCGAAGATCAGCGTTGAGAAGCGGAATGGCAGGCACTTCCAGCGCAGCACCATCAGCTCCGTGATAGGCCCCGGCGAGTTGCCGCAGTGGAAAGACTTGTGGCGCGAGACGAGCGACACAAAAAAGGCCATTTACGGCCACTCCGGGAAAATTCTAGCTTCCGGACCCTCCCCCGATCCTAAGATGGAGAAACCAAGCTTTGGAGACGAGCGCGAGCCAGTTCACTGGCACAGCATGCCGACGACGGTGGTGGAGGAGGTCTTGCACACGTTCCAGATCGGCGTCCTCCTGGACGCGAGCATGGCTGACGAGTCAGTGGGATTGGCGTGTCTCCGAATGAAAGTTTCCTACCTTGGGATGGCGTGGACGGCAAAGCACGCCGAGCTGTTGAGCAACAGGCTCAAGCAGCGCCTTTGGGCCGAGTTCAAAGACCAGAAGAGCCCCCTGCACCAGCCCATGTTGTGCCCAAGCTGCATCACTTGACTTGATCAGTACACCAACCCCCCCTCGTGGTAGATTCCTCAGCATACCACAACTTGAGTCGGGTTATGATTCCTGTAAGGCGGGAGCTGCTGTGTGGAGGCGAGGAGCAGACCGCCGAGGAGCCTCCGCAGAAGAAGCCACGCAAAGGCGATCGATCCACAAGCGGAGGCGCTTCCAAAGGACAAGGCCGCGGAGGGAAGGCAAAGGGCAAGAACAAGGGCAGGGGCCAAGCGGCGGCCCGCGCAAAAGAGATATTGGCCAAATTGGCCAAATTCAAAGGCAAGGGCTCCACGGATAATCAGTCCTCGCCAAAGGGAAGCTCCTCCGCAGACGCGGATGCCCCAGTCTGTCCATCGCCAGAAGCGTGAGTGCCTGGGTGGTAGATCCTCTTGCAGTCGCTTTTGACTGCCGAATTTTGCGGCGTGAGATGTTGCGCTACACCATCAGATCATGCTGCACTCCCACAGGTCCAGATCATGGCCTCTAGATTCTAGATCCTGGTACGCGCAGCATCGCTTTTCGCGCACTTGTACGCCTATCATCAGGCCGTCTGCTGGCTGGAGAAGCAGCAAGGAAGAACTCGGTAGGGGGCGGGTTTTAGGGCTCGTCAGGGTTCGTAGGATTTTATAATAGGGTTCAGAGGTCTAGCATTGATAGGGTTTCTAGGGTGTAATCGTATACACTACAGAGACGAGAGCAAAGTCTAGCGCAGCTGCTTCCCCAGCCCTTGCTTGGCATGCCGGTCTCAATCCCAACTTCCGCTTGTTTGAGCAGTAGCCTGCACGTCGCATGAAGCACGCAGCCGTGAGTGTTACACTTAGGATAAGTCGACATACCATGCGCCCATGCACTGCACGGCTGCCAGAAGATGATGCACACGATGCATGTCGCGTCAGCACTTGGGCAAAAAACATGGACGCAGCTGTGGCATGCATTCTGAACCGCGGCTCCACATGCACGAGCTTTTCTTGCAGGCTGAACCGCCAGGTGTTGGTCTCAGGGTAGTGCAAAGCCCAGTGATTGCAAGTGCCTTGTAACTTAGAGTGATGCAGCGGCAGCAGCATCGCGTGCTGACTGTCGGGAGTGCCTGTACCGGACTTGCCAGTGAGCTCTTCGCAGCACGCCGCCTGAATTTACGCGTTCGTTCCGTTTTTGGCTGTGACTGCGACTCTGCCAGTCAAACCTGGAATCAAGAAATGTGGGAGCACGAGCGTTTCTTCAACAATGTCCTGAGCACCGAATTTATGGAGGAGCCCGTTATCAGCACTTCGAAGTGATTCAGTTTCTTAACAGAAGCGATAAGTTCTGTACTAGACCCCATCGCTATGCCACCGCCCTGATCAGGAGTCCGAGTCAGCTGACATTTTCGTTTGTGGGCCGCCCTGTCAGCCCTTTTCCCGCCACGGCCTGGGTCTTGGTCAGCTGGACCCACGGGCCGCAGCTTTCGACGCTTGCCTTCGATGGATCGAGTTGCGACACCCGCGAGTCTTCATAATAGAGAACGTGTGCGGGTTGCTTGAAAGCCACCCGCAGTTTCTTGAGTACGTGATGAAGCGGCTGTCGTTGGTGCGGGCTGGTGGCCGCTCGGTCTACTTTGTGACCCTCATGGTGCTCAACCCTCGCCTACACTGTGGTATACCACAACACCGAGAGCGTGTTTTCATCATTGGCTGCCAAGCGGCGCACATGGTTCGAGAGGTAGAAGTACCGCCGGAGGCCCGCGTAATGCTTAATATACGTCCTGAAGCGCTCGTAGAATGTGCCGGTAGGTCTGTAAAAGAGTAGTCTGTGCAGGTGCCTATGCAGAGCATTCTGGCCTACACCCTGCCGGAGGAGCTGGTGAATGTGCTGGATCAACCGACGGTGCCTTCTGCAGGAAGCAATGCTTGTCGCGTGCTCCAAGAGTCATTGGAACGTATCATCCTTGCGGGTGGGGATCCGGAGTCGGAGCCCTATGTCATTGACGTGGGTCGATCCACACCCCACTACAACTACGACTATTGTCCATGTCTTACTCGGGCTCGCGCCGGGGGCAAGGGCTTCTTTCTGAGCTGGCGCATGCGCCATATGTCCGTGTATGAGATGCTCATGTTGCAGGGCATACAGCCCGAGGAAGTGCTTGGCACTTCTCTTTCTCTCCCTCAGCTTGGAAAGCTGTGTGGCAATGCAATGTGTGTGGATGTTCTCGCTCTGGTGATGCAATCTGCTCTTAGAGCTGTGGGGTTGCTGGAACCTGATGCCTAGTGTGCTCATTCGAAACAAAACCGAAAAGCAGCCGCTCTCGGTGACCAGCTGGTTCTGCAGTGCATGTAGCTTTGACGGGCTTAGGGGACTGTGTTGCAAGGTCGGTTCTGGGGTTCGATGAGAAAGGAGGCAGTCCTGAATTTGTTTTGGGGGATTCGGCTTGTGATGCCTCAGAGCGCAATTCCTCTCCCTCTGGAACCCCACATGTATAAACCCCTTGTCCGAGAGACTCGTTGTGCAAATCGAGCACGCCCTAGTTCCTTAAGTAGCTCAGACCCCAACCCATCGAGGCTTATTGTGGAAAGTCTTGATGAGTGGCAGCTGCGGAGTTGGGCCCTTGGCCAGCCTTGCTCAGTCATGAGAGGGAATCGAGATTTCTTTAGGGGATTCTGCTTGTGATGTCTCGAATGAAGCTCCTGTCCCCGCAGAACCCGACATGCTGCTCATTGTAGACAGTACGGTATACCCTAATTCCCTAACTACCTCGGACCACGACCCATCGAGGCTTGTGAAGAAAGCTGACGAGTGGCCCCTTGCTCAGCCTTGCTCAGTCAAGGGTCGCTTCCGGGTTTCAAGAGAATCCATGTTTCTTGGGGATGCAGTTTTGGAGATTCGGACGTCCCTCCGGAGCCCCATGTGCAAGCCCGATCCGAGAGGCCAATTACGAAAGTCCCTGACTACCTCACACCCCAACCTACCGAGGCTAGTGGAATCTCGGCACCCAGTTCAATACGAGCACTCCTGGCACGCTTGGTCCTTGAAAAGGGAACCCCAAAGAACCCTTTCCCTAGAGCCTCACTGTGAGGCGCTCGAGTGGCTTCTGCAGCATTCCGCCTTTCGTCCCAGCACCGTGCCGCCAGTGTCGCGGCCTGGGCAATGTGTTGCACGTGTGACCGCTAGACGACAGACATTGTCTGTTCATGTTGTTGCAGCTGCATGCACAGGTGATTTCTGGCGCAAGAGTGCAGTTCGAGGCACGGGTTTGGCAAACGCGGTTTTTGCATTTGCCGTGAGACAGCAGCCTGTGCATAGTGTATCAGATCTCGCAGATTCTCTTGTAGAAATCCAAGCCTGCGAAAAAGAAGATATTACCAGAACCAATCCGCTGAAATCCGATGCGCGAGGTTGTTTCGAGCACACATTTTGCGAGCACGAGGAAACTACAGATCAGTTAACTCACTGCCACAGCTGCGACAATAGCACCATGCCGCTTTCGCGGGACGCCCGCACTGTGTGCAGAACAACGCAGGAGCGACGTCCCTGGATGAAGGATTGACGTCCCTGGAACGCAAGGATGTGAGACCGTCTGTAATCTTTGAAAACGCGGCCGCAGCGGCGTCTCGCTGGACCTTTCGACTCGGCTGGAAGTAAGTGTTCTCAAGCATTCTGCAAGAAGTACCTGTGATCAATGAGATCACTTTCGTGGCCACTCCAGCGCCCTTGAGGAGCGTGACTGTCGACTTCTTCATAGAATGGGAAGAGACTCTGGCCAGCGATATCTCGTCGAAGACGTGCCCTCTGCCTTCTGCTTCTGCTGCTGTTCTTTGCTTTGCGATGCAAGACTGCGCCACCTGAAACCTGTCGTGCCATCCGCGTTCTGTGACTGGCTTGCGGTAGTTGCGTCCTCCTCCTGACAAAAGCTTGCCGGGAAACAAGAGATTGCCACGTTTCCGTTTCTGCGCGCCTGTCCTCTCCTGATCGGCCATCTGCAATGTCTGATCCGGATGCGGCCACTGGGAACCGCCGCCCCCTCGTACGGGCCCAGATTCCGGGCTGGTCCACTGGGCCAGAAGGGCCGCAAAACTTTTATCTAGCGGGATTTCTCTGGCTTTGGTCTTTTTGTTGATTCTGGGAACATTGATGCATGGGTGGTCTGTGCCGATGCCTGTGAACCAACTGTCGCGGGCGCCAAGAACGCAAGCCTGCCTCTCCCCCATGAAGACGCCGAGGAGGAATGCCACTCCGGCCCAGGGTGCTTGCACCTCCATGGCAAAGGTTTCGAAGAGCGAGCAGCATTGTTCTGCCGTTAATGCTTCCCGACCGCCCCTGTCAGCCCTCTCCGGTAGATGGCATTTTGCCAAGTGCTCTGCGCAGCAGAAACGTGCAGCGCCACAATTGCTACGCAGTTTGCGAGTCTCTGTCAAGTTCACGTGCTCGATCTCCAGCACATGCGATTTGTTCTTGACATCTATGTTTCGCCGACGACAGCCCTTCCACGCGCAGAGTATCTTCACTGTGCTCCCACGCGCCCTTTTCGGCCCTCGCGGCATTCGCGCGATCTGCGACTTAACACCTATTGGTCGGGTATCATGCGGAACTGCAGGTTCACTACAACCCAAGAATGGTTAGAAATTGCCTACTCTACTAGGAACAGCCTCTTGACCTAGTTGCATGAGCAGGGGCATTTTGGGCAGCTTACAAGCAGTGTCGAATGAAATCTGTTGCAGAGAGGCTGGTGGCTGCACATGCGAACGAGACATCTGTTGGAAGCAGAATAAAATAAGACTTTCCGGAATGAAAACCAGATCTCGCGCCAAAGTCTTGTTTCCTAGCTTCCGAAACACTTCCCGGCCCCACTTCTGAATCCTCCCCTATTTCGGAAGGGGCACTTCCGAAGTCTGGTTTCCGGTTTCCGGTGGTGTTCAAGAGGGGTTTGTTCAAGAGGGGTTGAACGGTTTCCGGTGGTGTTCAAGAGGGGTTGAAATGGGGCTTGAGGTTTCAGGGGTTGAAAAGAGGTTTGAGGGGTTCAGGGCTTT